ATTAGATTTAGTAAATACCAGTAAGTCCTCGGAGAGAGCCTGGAGATCTGTAGTACAGGTTTCGACTTAGTTCAGACTCCAGACTCTCACAAGGAATAGCTTGTAAGTTTAAATACATACTTTTGTTACTTTGTCAATATTGTAAGTTTCCTTGTGAGCAGTAAATAAAGATTATTATTATTATTATTATTATTATAATAATAAATGTACCATTTCGACCAATATGTATTTAAGTATTTAGAGATCGTAAACCATTTCTATCAGTCCTCATCAAACAGCAAAAATGAATATCTAAACTAATTAAAATAATAAAAAAAATTAAGTAACCTTAGAACAAAAAAAATGTCTACATTTTCAATTGTATGAATCATATTTCAAACAAAGAAAACTGCATCATAATCTAAATATAAATAACTCAAAGGTGACTGACGTAGTGATCTATCAACGCACAGCCCAAACCACTGGACGGATCGTGCTGAAATTTGGCATGCAGGTAGATGTTATGACGTAGCCATCCGCTAAGAAAGGATTTTGATTAATTCCACCCCTATGGGGATAAATTAACGCGAGCGAAGCCGCAGGCAAAATCTAGTCAGTCCATATGTTTAGAAGCTCGATGCCAAAGACTGACACATAGACCAGTAAAATTTCCTCTTTTCATCGTGGGTTAAAAAAACACATTAAGTAATTGAATACAAATCCTATGATATTCAATTTCCTTAATTCACTTCTCATTCAAATCGACATTTGAATGTTATTTAGTACATCCATTAAATCCCAAATTATTCTTTTCCCCGTGAACCACCAGGTCCAGCCCTCTGTAATTGTTCTTTAATTGGTCTAATTAAGGCTATTAATCTGATTATTTAGCAGAACCCCCGTTAGTACAATGGTTTGATTTAATTTACAAAAATTAGCTAATCTCACTGAAAGGCTAATGTTGAGTTTGTTCAAGCTTTTATTTGGATAATCCACATCAATCTTACTACATTATAATATAAACGCGAAAGTTTGTTCGTATTCACAAACTTACTCTTTCACACAAAAACTACTGAACGGATTTTGACGAAATGTTACAGCAATATAGGTAGTTTATACATCAGAATAATTAATTTAAAGAAATATTATGTGAATTGGGAGAAATATAGTAATACATATCAAGTAAATGTGAAGTTGCGTGGGCCAGCAAGTCCATAATAATATGAAGTGCAAATGGTGTATATATATTTGTTTTCCTTTCGTGTCTAAACTCCTGAATTGAACTAAATGAAGTTCGACATTACAATACACCGTATTATGATTACGGGCATGGCTTTGTCCGTAAATAATCTTAGGTAAAGTTTAAATTTTCTGTCTGTTTATCAGCGTTTATATAAACGCTTATTATTTATAACCGATTATAGTATTATAACAATACTTTTTATGACATTGTTTTCTTATTGATTAGAATTGACCTGCCTACAATGTTTCACAGCCTGTGATTGACTGGTAGAAAATACCGTAAGGTGTTACGTCCTCTACATGTACTTTTTCCTTGCTATTTTATGCATTTAAATTATATAAATAAATATGCATATTTTTTTTTCTGAATTTTATTTATATGTTTAATTGATATAGGTATTAATAATCTGAATTTGTGTAGTTATGAATACTGTGTAATGAATATATTTTTTTGTTTTACCCGCAATTTATTCATATTTTCCTACCTCTAGAAGTTCTCAAAGTTTTGTAATATCAATATCATTTCATTTATATGGATATGGATATATAATACTAATAGACAACTTCTCGATACCTAATAGAAAGCTGTAAAATGTATACACGGAAACAAAACTTCATTTCTAAAACAGATTGTTTAAGGGTTTATGACAGAATATATTCGCTTGCTTAAGTGCGTTAATGGGATAATGATGTTTTGTACTGACGACTAAAAACAGGGGTTGTTGTATACATATTCAGAGTAAGGGAGACAGAAAATAACAGCTTTCTGTATCAGACAAATTGTAAATATTAACTACTTAGTCGCAATTTAAAAATATATATTTAATGTTTAGTAGCGCTATAATTTCAGGATGGTTCGAAGTTCGGTAAAATTATTTTAGTAATAACATCATGCAAAGATAAATGGGATAGGGGAGCATCATTCAAATATATTTATAAAACGGAGTTTATTGTATGGCCGGAAGTTGCGCGCATTATTATATTATAATAATTGATCCGCGCAACATCTGCGTTTCATTTCTCCACCTTTTGAAATATTTTTTATTGCAACTCCACTCCTGTTGGTCGTAGCGTAATGTTATATAGCTTAAAGCCATCCTCGACAAATGGACTATCCAACACAAAAATAATTTTTCAATTCAAATCACTAGTTCCTGAGATTAGCACGTTTAAACAAACAAACAAAAAATCTCCTTAGCTTTGTAATAGTAATTATAAAGCTGCCCTAATTCTATGTATATAGCGGCGGCAATGAGTATTATCACAGGCGGCAATGAGTCTATAGGCTGTGGTTACCTCGTATCAGGCTAACCGTATGCTTTTTTGCCATTCCTATTATATAAAAATGAAGAAAAAGACGCTAAATGTGGCCATGTGACATTAAAATAATGGAACGTGGGCAATATTGCCTGTGCCACTAAATTCTATGGCCGTAATTCCATTTATTTAATAACGCTCCATTGCTCCGTGTCTGTTCAGGGTATAAATCTTCACAGGATCATTCGGCGGTGAGCTGTAAAAATTACGACCTATTTGAAGCTAAATGTCATAACTCTATAAATAAAGCCTATATAATGTTATTAGAAAATACATGTTACACATATATATTTCTATTATAGACTTTTAAAAAGAGAGCATTTATAATTTTACGTTATTTTTACATGGAGTTTTTTAAACAATCGGATTCCCAATTGAACATGTCAAAACCAAAATCCGTCTTTATTTATGTAGTCCTATTACAGACACTTATAAAAACAAGTCTACTGTTAGTTCAAAATGTAATTTCATGACATCGTTATAGTGAGTACGAATGAGGGCTACCTACTACACTCATACGTTAATATGCCTGGGGATTTATGCTGTTATTAAACATCCCTGTAATTTCACTGCCATATCTCATCAATTAAACTGGAACACAGCTTACAAAGCAAGCTGCATACAGGTAGGATAGTTGATGTATAGATACCAACAACATTGTTCAAAGATTACCTTAAATTTAGTTATTATGTAGCTATTTTAAATGGTATTCGATGATTTTCATAAAATGGGCCATATAATTAGTTTGCTCTTTCAGTCGGTTAAAAAAAACTACAATGCAGCACAACTATTTCAAATAGACAAGTATTATTCGGGTAAGATCTGATAATTACTTTGTTATTATACAAGCCGACATGCAGAGTCAGCTTGGAGAAAAAAAATTAGGTTAGAGCTGAGTAATTACTCAACAAGTCAGACGCACAAAAACGTCGACATCTCTACTATTATAGCTGTGATTATAGTAATAGGTACATAATATATTTGTCATCTTTATTATTATATTACTATCTCCTTTATCTTCATTTCTTTATTTTCCCTTACATAACTGGCGAAAACTGTGTCTTTGTCTACTTATATGTTAATACTAGCTCTTGCCCGCGGCTTTGTTCGCGTTAATTTATCCCCTTAGGGATGGAATTTATCCAAATCCTTTCTTTAGGGATGCCTACGTCATAGTAGATTTATGCATGCAAAGTCTCAACCCGATCGGTTTAAAATTGACAAAGTTTCATACAAACTTTCATCCCCTATTTTATCCCTTTGGGGGTAGAATTAATCAAAATTCTTTCTTAACGGATGCCTATGCCATAACATCTACCTGCCTGCCAAATTTCAGCCCGATCCGTCCAGTGGTTTGAGCTGTGCGTTGATAGATCACTACGTCAGTCACCTTTGAGTTATATATATTTAGATATCAGATGGATGATACTATACTATTTACTATAGACTATGACGATACATATGGATAAAGTAGTCTAAGTCTGAGTCGGATGGTAATGGTATAGTGTCCCCGCGTTAACGGTCTATGCTGGCGAGGTACCAATGGAGGATGATAAGATGAACATGAGGTCAAGTCAGTTAGCCCGTTGCGACAAATTCACCAGGAATTTATCACGATGGTTTTCAGGGGGTTCCGCGTGGAGGTCACCATGGTACTTTGTTACAATGGGGTCAAGAGTCCACATTACTAACAATCCCTTTCCCCCTCGTACCTATATCAGAGGTTACACCTCGAATATTCTGAGGAAGTGGTTTGAAATAAGTAAGAAAAAAGTAAAAATTTTTAGTGTCGACCGGGTTTAAACACCGAAAAAAAAAAACAGTGGGGTCGCCCACTGTTTTTTTTTTGGACTACTCTTATGCTGTTGGCCGCAGCTTGTCTTTACAGTTTCACTCCAAACAGGCGGAAGGCCTTATGAAGCGGCTGAAGGCCAACTCCCACCTGACGGATACGACTTTAGTCTGAGGGCACCACTAGGTGTTCGAACCTCGGCGCAGGCCGAACACCGATCGTAACATCGATCCCCGTTGAATTGGACGGGGGATCGATCGGAGAGGAACCCCACTGCGTCAGTAGAAGTTATGTTGAAGAGTACTCCCGAATTACTCAATATGCAAATTAGGATTCCGTAGGTAGATCTTTCTATAGCCGAGATCGATCGACGGAACCCCAATATGTGGTGATTTGATATCGCCCTAAATACATATGTGTATTATGGTTTAGGGTACATTTCTGCTGACATGCAGATTTTGCTTATTTATGATATTATAAAGCACGTGTAATATGTAAACATATGTAAACAGTTTTGTATCTTGTCACAATTTATTTACAGTTTAAAATAAATTGGTATGTTTACCAGACAACAGCTTTAGGGTTTTATGCATATAGTAATCGTAGAATATTAAAAAAACAATAGTGTTTTTTAGAATAAAATACCTATTGTTTTATGAGCAAATTGTATTTATTTATAATCTAGAGTGCCATATTTATTAGCAAATATTTGCTGTGGCATCCTCATAACTGCTCCACTGAAATGCTTCAGCCACTCTCTCTTGGCTTTTTCAATCTGCTCTGGATTTGTTGTTGTCGATGTTTTGGATTTTGCTAAATTCTGCAAGTAGGATTCGTAAAGACTCATTCTGGGTATAACTGAGTTATCTTCCGCTGGTTCTAAAGGTACATTAACTGGGTCAAAAGGTAGAGTCAACATGAATTTTCTGGGGTCAGCAAAGAACGTGCTCTGAGTGATAGTTTCTGTGTTGTTCAATATTGCTTGTGTGTTTGTTGTGCTGCTAGGTGAAGTAGGTCGGTTATCCTCATCCCAAATGACTGAGTCTATCCATCTAGAGAAGCTGGAAATCTTTGGGAACGCGTGAGTTTTGGTATATAGCGCACAGGAGCGAAGAAATGAGCTTATTCCTACAAGAGTACTGTTCTGTACGATCGCTCCACCGTTGTCTCTCTGAAAAAGGCATTAAATACTTAGAAATCTTAAATTTATTTATGCATAAACAGTTCAGTAATTCCAACCGAGAAAAAACGCCACATTCGCTTTAAGAAATTATTCTTATTTTTTATTAAGAGCCATTACATATTTTGTGCAACTACATAATTAAAAAATAGAACTTAAGCAATCTAAGCTGTCCTTTTCCAAGATTTTCTTCTCTCAACATCACAGGGAAGTTATACGTTTTAAGCGTTGTCATTGACCTTATCTGAATGAAACAAAAACTGAATCTGTCTCAACCTTTTGTCCTCTTTAATATTTTGTTATCCCTTAATTCGTTTTATTTCAAGTGACATCATAAACATTTTACTAATGAAAAAATAATATTTAATTTCAAATATTCTTCAACTGAATGCCGTTGGTTATAAAATACGGAAAACAAACAATAACTTGTTTTGCGAGACGTTCTTGGATGCTCGTAAAAATCTATACAACGATTTTATAGATCACGTGATCGTATTTCATATAAACGGTATTGCATACCAATTGGATTGTACAAGTTATTGCAATCACGATTGAAGGCAGTAAGCCAAATGAAATGTATGTTGACTTGCATGTAATATCGTAATTTTATTATTGAATTTTATCTTTGCATCTGTTTGTGAGGTTACATATTTTTTTATTTGGTAAAAAGTTGAGGAAGAGTTAATATAAAGAGATATATTAAATAGAGCATAGTGGCCTAGTGATATACTACTCTGAGTTACATTCAAGAGGTCAAGGGTTCAAATCTGCTTCATACCAATAGTTTTTATGTGTAAATTTATATGAAGAAACACCGATAACAAGCCAATAATTAATCCGAGAGATGGTTACTGGCCGCTCCCACGTTGGAGACATATGTACGCAGTGAAATGTGAGCGTGTTTTGAATGCCACAACATCGACAGTTGATACTATCTTTGTCTTCCCTATCTGGGAGTCGTGACGTTATGTTTTATATCATCACATAGTATAAAATAAAGTCACTGTCGCTGTCTGTCCGTCCCAATGTCTGCTTAAATCTTTAAAACTACCCAACGGATTTTGAAGCGGTTTTTTTTAATAGACATGTGAATCTAGTGTACGGTTTATATGTATATATGTACACCCGTGCGCAGCCGGAGCGAGTAGCTAGTTAAATATATATTTGGAAATATCTCGAGTGATGTAAAGAGTAATTGAATTTCTTTATTTTAAACGACACAATTTTATCATATTTATGTATTATTTATGCCCGCCACAGCTTCGCTCTGAGTTTAGTTTATATTTACATAATATATAGCCTTTCTTACGCTGCAATATCTGATCGTTCGTAAATTGAAACGTTTGACGGCCTCTAGCGGTTTAGCACACCGCCTTACTTCCGCTGGTCGCGGGTTCGATTCCTCGCGCGGCACAAACATTTGTATTCGTGAGCATGATTGTTTAAATTGGTCTGGGAGTTTTTTATATATAATATGTATGTATTTACGAAAAAAATATCTATATATTTGTATCAGTTATCTAGTACCCATAACACAAGCTTTAGCAAGCTTAACTTGGGTCTAGGTGGCACTGTATGAATTGTCTTGATATTATTATTATTATGTCCTGGATACAACCACCTGATCAAGGTGAATTCACTATGATTTAATAATGGCCAATAAGAAACACGTATCGTTCAGTTTAATACTAAGACTACTAGTATTTTTTGCATGCATTTGAGAATATTATTAACCACTCCGTGGCCTAATATATTTATGGAGTCAACTGTACTATAAATGACGTAACACGAGTACTGCGAGGGTGTTAGGGGACGATGAAAAACTCAATTTCCCACCGCCATCCTTCTAAGACTGATTTATCGTGTCTCTTTAATGTATTTGTTTATAGCTAAATACATGGAATTTGTTGGTAGAATCTATAAGTTATTTTCTATGTTATTGGAATGTCAAGCTGATGGTCCACCTGATGGTAAAATGGTAAGTGGCAACTGTCACCTATATACATAAACAGCACATAGTACACACTCAAGTTATATATAACTTTGCGATTGTCATGCCCGCAAAGCAACCCATGTGTTGCCATTCCAGAACACTAAGATGTCAAGTCCCTTATCCTGTAAATAACTCGCACTTGAGTTAAATATTTATTTATAATTGCACATGCATATACATAAATTTACATATGATAAATTAACAATACACATGGACTCTGTTTAAAGAGTATGGCAATTTCGTAGATGACTCATTCCCATAATAAAATTTAAAATTTTAGATCTGTTGTAGTGTCCACTTAGCTCCTATAGATAAATATGTTTTGAAAAGAGGATTAAAGCCATATTTTTAATTTATAATTTTATAATTGACGTCATAAATAAAAAATGACGTAGCGGATTTTATAATGAGTTTACTAAACTCTAATTTGTGAAATTCTTCCACTGTTTATTTTTATTACTATAAAAAATAACTTTCCCTATCAGTGAATATATATATAACTTTTTGTTATGATTAAATAAGTATACGCTATATATACATTATTTTCCCTTTTGTTCTGTTCAAATTTTAAATACGATCACGTTCTCTGTATCCAATCAATTCAAGAGATAATCCACGAAAAGGTAACATACAGACAAAATCATTTCCGCTGTAATAATACTTATTTGTTATATTTTTAGACAAATTTTATATTAAACAAATTCTACAAAGAATACTTTGATCGTAACGATATTAATATGGACCAAATGGGATTTAAATCCTATTAATTGTAAAATTAATTATAACAATACGACTTACCAGAGCTATACTGTAATGATTCGTCTGCGTGCGAACATCAGTTTCACGTATTTCAGCCGCCAAGCAACCTAGTTTGTAAACTATGTATCGGTTGTTGGTGTATCCAACAACCGAATACAATAAAATTGCAGGCATGAAATCTTAGTCCTCTGAAATGGCAATACATGAGTGGTGTCGCGAATGTCACATGATAACGTGATGTCCGTAATACTGTTCGTGTATATATTCGACGGTTACATAAAAATAATTCCGTAATTGACTACAATTAATTTAAAGAATATATTAAATAGATTTTATCAATACTCATGATGACATAAAGAATAATGCAGGAAAAGAATGGATGCAAACTGCCATGGATAGAGAGAGTCGGCAGAAGATGAAGGAGGCTTTTACCTGTGGTGACCACATAATAAGAGAGAGAGAAATAAATAAACCACAAATAATAATTATATGTTTGAAAAATATGTGTTATGTGGATGTTAAAGCTATAATAATAAAAGACTCGTATACAGGCTACGCGACTGTTATCACTTTACATCGGGTGGGCGTTTGCTTGTTGCCCAAAAAACGACGAGAAATAAAGTAAAGAAACTTTTTCATTTAGTAGTCCCTTAAAAATTATGTTTCTTTCATAATTCTTACTCATAAAGTAATATACCGATACACAGGACCGAATTAACAATTTTATAGAGTAGGCATCCGCCTAGGAGCTCTGCATCTACAAGGGGCCCCTCGTAGTCAAATAAGAATTTGAAAATGTTTCCAATTATGCTAAATACTAGAAGGTTCTTTTCTAGTATTTAGCATAATGAAGTTACCTATAGTGTCTTATTGAAAAAAAGCTGATATTAAGCAACTGAAAAGGCCTGTTTAAAAATGTGTGAAATAGTATAAAGTGGCATTGAATGACCTGATTTCAATACGTTTGTTTTAACAGGGAAGTGGTTCCGATAATTTCGTAGTCTAGGGCCTCCAGTCAAGTTAATCCTGCCTTACTTATATATACGTATTAAAAGATATTTTTTTTCGTCATTTGCTCGTTCATTTAAACACGTTGACATATTTCAGGGAAAAATATTACCATTGACTGAAATGAAATGTTCATAAATAATTAATAAATTACGGAGAGCTCGCTCGCTCTATTAATCTCTTAACATAATTTAATGTGAGGAAACCTTCAACGGAAAAGGTTAAGCAGTAACATCGGTATTTCTTCATTTGTCGGCTCATAAATTTAATAATACAATTTGCTGCTTTATTATTGTAGTATATTTAGATATTGTATTATATAAATTTATGACTTCTATTATAATTATGTAACCTATGACAAGCTGCCCTGGCTTTGATCGACTGCTCAAAACTTTGTGAGATTTTATATACTAACACTCGTGATTTTGTCTGTCTCGTGATTTTGTTTGATTTAACAAAATATAGTCTACGTTCGTTCACGTGGTACTATCTATTTTTATATATATTTTTTTATCCATTCAGCCGTTTAGTCGTGAAATGGGAACAAAAAAACGTAGATACACTTTCGGAATTATAATAATATTATGGTTAATATACTTATATAGCTTATATCTCTGGAATATTGTATGTACCTTTCAACGCCTATGAAGTACCATAGGTGATGACTTTTTCCATGTGCTGTTCATGCATTTGTTCGGTGCTTGCAATCTTAGCTGAGGTAGACCATCAACTTCATTGCTATTCCAGTTACTTAAAATGGATATATTGTCTGTACTTACCCTACAAAAGTGTCTATCAGGGTCCTGTATTCCTCCGATGCAGATATAGTTACCAGGAAGCATTTTGGTAAAGGATTCACACAGGCTCGACTCTATAACTGGAGCATTCACGGAGCGTATATGCTGTAAATAATATTTATTATTTATATATGTAAACATATAATGCTAGCATATTCATATGATATGTAGAATCTCGGGGCGTTCATACATATGCTGTATTAACAAAAATATTGCAGTAACCGCTTAAGCATAAATATCTGTTGCATATCTGAAATTCGCTGCATGCTTTGTAAGCTAACTCAATTATATGATTAATAAAAAGTCTATAATCATGAAATAATTCTCAAGAATTATTAAATGGTAAAATGGATTTTTCAGTTGTATATTTTAATAATATACACTTTCTTCATTACTATTTTCTTGTTTATTTGGTAAATATTTCGTGGATTTGTAAGTTACTTACACCAGTTGGAGTCCAGGCAATGATTGACGCTAAATAACCTAATGTAACGTCTTCGTCAGGATTTGGCAGCCGTATTGAGTTGATTCTAGACCCGAAAACTAAAGCAGTTTCTAACTTTGCACAAGACACTTTCATGTCAAAATTATTGATCAGCATTTGTATCTGAAAATTGAACAAAAACTAGATTAGTAGTTATTACCATCATTAAATTGTAGTATTTGATATTTGTATTAAAGTAAATTTATTTGCTGCACTATTATTGTTCAAAGGAAATTAATAATAGAATAAAAAAAACTGTCTATTGATATTATTCATGCGTTGCCATTCCAGAGGTATAAGAAATCATGACTGAAAGAAGAAGAGTGAAATTACAGGATACGCCTGTAATTTCACTCTTTTATGTCGGCCCTTAACTGGAACAAAGCTTACAAAGCAAGCTGCTTCGTGGCTGAAATAAGTGAGACTAAGAAATCCACGTTGATGACATTTACAAACCTCAGTAAATTCTCAAAGAAAATATGCATGTTTTTAATCAAATATTAAATAATTTAAACTTGGGAGATATTTGGAATATTAGTATCCCAGATCGATGATTGCTACTATTCCCCAATCCTGGATTGATCCGACAAGCTAGGAAAAATATGTTTACCTTATAAAGAGATCCTCCTTTATTATTGTAAGAGCTTCCGACCCTCACAGTGAAATTGGCCAGGTTTTTGTATGTTACGTACGAAGAAATAACGTTCCTGAAAAGATATAGGACGCAAATTTCACTCTATAAATCTGATAAGGGATACGGTATTAGTTTCTGAATATAAGACTGACTCAGCAGGGTACAATATCTATACTTTTTTGTTAATGAAATGGTGATACCATTGGTTAGTGATGTATACTGACATAGCAATAGTGAAGGATGAAGTTATGCTGATGAATTCATGTTTAATAGATGATAAATATGTAATAGACATTATAGAATTTATTAGTATCTTGCTTTTCGGTTGAAGGGTGAAATAATGTACTGAAATTACCGGATATGGATGTCCGGACATCATAGTCCTGAATTTGAACGCATTCATAGGCGACGATTACCACTTACAATTGGGTGGGCTTTATAAAGTTCTACTTAATTTTATACTAGACTAGCATTTTTCTAAAATAAAAGTGGTCGAAGTTACTCCGTATTACATCAGCTACCTGCCAAAAAAAGTCCAATCAAAATCGGTCCAGCCATTTAAGAGATTAGCCGGAACAAACAGACCGACAGTCAGACATACAAAAATTATAAATAATGTTATTTTGGTATATGTACTTGTACTGTGGTATATGTATACCACATGCATACTCATATGCATGTAGTAAAAAACGGTATTTCAATATTACAAACAGACAGTCCAATTTTATTTATATGTATAGATAAGGTCGTAGATTTGATCTGAGTGATCTGGTTGTTTTTTTATGTCACTGGAATGGTAAACAACTTTACGCCTTGCATTATTCAATGTGAAAACAATTCCCCCATGAAAGTCCCTACATGGATTTTATGTCGTCCTACTAGGACGACATAAAGTCCATGTTCGAGTTGATTTTTTATATCTAATTGTAATATTAGAATGGCCCAAAATGACGGCTGCAACTGCTGATAAGTCATTACCGTCATTACATAAACAGTATTATGGATATCACGTTACATATAAATTTCGTGATAGCACTCATACGTTGCATTACGGAGGATTATCATGCCTCTTATCCTGTAATTCGCTGCCGTATTTCATCTTTCAACATCACATCTTACAGTTGCTTAGCATCTACATACAGGTAAGCAATTTCACAAAACAACAATACAGTACGTTCAGATTGCGTCACAAAGAAGCTATTTGCATCAGACCCCGAGAGACCTAACATATTAGCGTGCCACGCCAACCCTTACAAATGTATTTACATTGAACATCGATGTTAAACATTGAGAATGCCTCTCGTGCGTAAATACGCCATGAGATTTCATCTGTATACAGAGACAGGATTAAGGTCCTTTTGGATGCCATTTGTATGGAATAGTCCGAGATTTTATTTATTGCTCGCTTGTTAGTCGGAGAAAGAGTTATCTTAGTGTTGTTGTACGTTTAGAAATTAAATTGTTTACTATTTTGATGGACTAGTCTAGTCGACAAGTCTTATTTATACTATTACTAGCGATCTGCTCCGGCTTCTGACAGATATATAACAAATCTTTGAATTTCTCGGCTAGTCCCACAAATGTATACGTATTAATTTCCTTATCAATCACTATATATTGCTGAAAACTGTATAAAATCCGTTGCATAATACGAACAGACATTGGTGGCGACTTTGTTTTATGCGATGTGAAGAGATCTGATCCAAATGGTATAGCGAGATTTATTATCAAAAGAAATGTTTAGGTGAACATAACATTATATTTTGTTTGATATAGCCAATTGGAACAAGACCCATGGCTTGTCATTTTTTAATACTAAACTGTCACGCTTTCGAATACTAACATATAATAACACTGCCAATTATCAGACGCCTCAGCTCGCAACAGTTTCACAAAGTCAAATTTATATATCAAAATTTCTATAGAAATCAATGAATGAGCACATGAATTATTAAATTATAATTTTATAAATAAAAACAAAACCCTTTTAGCATAACATCGTCATGAGTGCCTTTTCCTTGCATTATCCCGTGGGATTAAACAGATTAGCATTGTAACATTTATGATTATGTATAAAATAAGCTCATACCCGCTACTTCGTCTGTTCATTTATATAAAATATAGCCTATGTCCGTTCTAGTAATACAATACATATTTACGTAAAATTATATTATATACTAGCGTAATTTCGTATGTGTTACATTTTCTACTCCATTCCTTTTGGTCGCAACGTGATATTATGTAGCCTATAGCCTTCATTAATAAACGGGCTAACACTAAAAGAATTTTAAAAGTCCGTCCTTCAGTGGATCCAGACATCATCACTTGCAACTTTACAAACTCACAAAATTTGCCTCTTTATAACAATAGTTTAAATATTAAGATCAAATTAACTGTTTAGCAGTGGAAAGGAAACCAACAGACAGAGACACTTACGGATAAACAATCTTATATATTATAATTCTAAGCGTACAATTTTTTACAATTTACTTTGTAAATAGAAGTCAGTGCAAGTATAAATTAATAAAATTTTTGCACAATAGCAATAAACGAACGGCTATATATACGATCTAACAAATAAATATTACATTAAATAATTCCTGTCAAGACACACATAACATTTAATAATAACTAAGGTCGAAAAATGTCACTTCTAGATATCGCTTCCAAATTGAGTCCTTTATTTCGTAAAGGTTAACTTAAATCCTGCCTAATTTAAACTGAGCGCATCATTAATTTAGATCTTAACTATAAAGTTAAACGTTCAAATTGAGTTTCCCGTTTAAACCGCGATGAATAATAGTCGGGGTAAATTAATGTGTATTGTAATGAGTTTTCTAACTTGAATGCGTCTTAACGATTTACTTTTAGGAGTGTCTACTCAACTTCGAGTACTATAGTTTATAAATAAATTACGGGATTACACTAGATAATGGCCGTGAAATATTAATTCAACTGAATTAATTAATACATTGAATAATGCCGATAGCAAAGCAAATTAATTCAAGACAAAACAATAAGCTAGATAGAGGATTAGAATTAAATTTACTTAGTGAAGTGTGCACAAGTCACGTGTTGTGTTCACCTCAACGTAAACACTTGATGATAGTTCTGAATATGAAATCTGGGATAACGATAGGTAATTAGGGTAAGCATATTTTTTCCCGGCTTCGCACGGATGTATTATAAATCTTTTAATTTCTCGGTTTCTTCTATCCTATATACATGTAAACCTTTCTCTTGAATTGTTAATACCTATTGCTAAAAACTGTACAACTGGATATTTACTGTATTTTTTTATGTGGTAAAAAAATAATCACAGTGAATATCACCTTATATAATTGTGAGCAAAAGCAGGAAAAGGGATAAAAATATATACATAGTAATATATATATTACAATTTTTATGTATTAGTATACTCACGAATCAAAGCATTTCGACGAAGTGAGAAGCCAGTACGTATTGAGTATGATAGCACTACAAACGTAGGAGTTATTCTTGAGCAGCGACACTGAGTACGGATGGTGGAAGATCTGTGTGACAGTGGGTCCTATTTGATCACTGGTATCCTCCACGTCGACATCTGCTGTTGGAAGAATTATTTTCTATGAATTGATTGATAAGAGGACAGCTCGTTAGATATGATATGCGAGGAGATTCATAGAAGAGCTAGAGTCTTACTGATGGATAGTGGCATACGTGTGATATGATGTCCATACTATGCCTCTTTCGTAGAGGAAAAGGGGGTTGTTAGTAAGAGAGGAGAGGTAGTAATCCATAAATTAATTCACACCAACTTCAGTAATTTTCACTTGCTCATCCCCCTCCGGTATTAGATTCTCTGAGTCCAGTCTCATAGAATCTAATACCTCTCACCTAAGACGGTGGAAGGGATAGATTTTATGACTTTTTTTCATCTATTGTTATGCTGTTGCCTTTTACAGCTTCACTGAACGACAGGGGGTGAGTGCAAAAGGCACTCCAAACCTGTGAAAGGGTTTATGCAGCGGCTGAACTCCTTCTTGACTATATTGCTAGGGGTGCGAACCTCGGCTCAGGCTGTCGTATTTTCGATCCCCGTTTGTATTTGGACGAGGGATTGATTGTAGGGGAAATTGATACCTCCTTGAATTTAGTTGTCTCATTCCTAACTATGTACCATATGAGGTCTACTACATCCTTATCTCCTGATATTTATCCACTGGTGCTTGGCTACAGCTTAGACGAATGCATATATATGTATGATGTATGCACATCTATTAAAAACCTCTATCCATTTGTACTCCATTTGGTAATTCACAATATCAATACAACGTGATAAGAACCCTTTGTTCCTCTCATTTTCATTTAAAACTTTCATTATCGTATTTGTAAGACGATTAAGCAAATTTATTCACTCGAATTAATCCAATCGTTCGGGAAGACGGCACATTGTTGACTTTCTACTTTGTAAAGTCAGAACACCAATTATCTCAACTAGCAATTACTAGATTCGTCTTTATGAAATTTATTCAAATATTTTGAACAATCTGTGACGGTCGAGAGATATTTATATATTGCTAATAATACAATCGACATAGTTTGCCTGCGCAATATTAAGCCTGGACAATTCAAACTCTGACTAGCATAAGCAGAACTATCTGAATTATTATACAGTCCTATATAAATTTTCTGTAACTCCATATAACTGAAATTGTATATGTATTGAAGATACAAATAAAATTCTTATGTATCTGCTAGATTGAGAGAGAGAATTGATAGAATTAGTTAGTAATTATCGTGCAGTGATTTGAATCCATGACTATGGATGCGAAGCAGTGTGTTAAGACTAGACCATCGATCATTATAAAGCTGAAGAGTTAACATATCTCAGAAATTCCTTTTAGGGTCGAATTGAAAATTTCTCTCTTGACTAGAACTATAGACTTTTTAACTTAATAATACGCGATGCTAGTAGAAGCTGATTACTAATGAAAACTGACGCAGACGAAGTTGTAGGTTAGCTAGTTATAAATAAGAGGGTAAACAAGATATGGTTTGATCGAAGGCTTGATGCCATAACCATATATTTGAATCTGATGTTTTTAAATCTATATTTAACTTTAAAACGAGTAGGTACCTTAATCCAGTACAACACTAATTCATTTCGAATTCACTGAGTCGACTGATAACGAGGTGGTTGGGTATGTTTGATCAACACTGTTGTCGAAACTTGCCCGTAGCAGTTTGGCTACGGGTTTTCGTCCAGAAAATAACATAGCAATTAGACAAGTAATCAGTTAATGGAATATTGGTGAACAATAAGTTTAATTAAGTTAATATTGATTAATATAATATTGAGTTAATATTTTTTTATGTAATTGATAGTAAACAACCTAATTAGTGGTATCCGACGCTTATATACATAAACAGCACTACGGATATCACATCATGTGACGTAATGTACGTTATACTGAATTCATATGGAATTAACCGATGGTTTTCCGGGAATATTATTATTTTCACTTCGATTATTATGACTCATTACATAATGGTGGGATTATTATCCGCCGTTACAATAAGAATAAATTGCAATGATTACGTTGTTTGGCGATACGATTTTTCACGACTTACAACTTAAATATTACAAACACCAACCTTTTTATGATTTAACCGATATAAGCAATTTTTACCTGAATCATTTATCTCTTCTGTACTTATTTTCGCATGTATTTGTAAGTATGAGAAGGTAAATAATATAATCACTGACGACCACATCCTACTTATTAGTATAACAAAGTTGTTCTGGAATATTGTACTAATTCTGAATATTCCATTTCCTATTGTACTACATAGAGTTAACAAATAGCGACAATAGAATAGATATTCATAAACATACGGTAATTATTTTTTATACAATTACAAGTATATACATCCTTAATGTATTACATTATACGACAATTATTTCAATATATTCTTAATAGATTATACAAAAGTCCATAAAATATTAAATATAAATACCTAAATTGAAAATTTCTGCAAACTAGGTATCTTTAGATTTACTTTATGTATTTCGTGCTTGTGTGTTAAAATTTAAAAGTATAAGTATGTCAAATTATCATAAAATAGAAGTCTATACCTACCTAATAAAGAAAAGTTCTTTAAGTAATTAAAAAGTATATTGCTTCCATATAGATATATGATATATTAGTTTAGCATATCGTATGCAAAAAAAGATAATTAATTCTTATATGACCCATTCCTACGTACTTTCGCTGTTAGCTGTTATATATACATAAGTACTATATATGCATGGTAATTTTTTTAACATATGCTGACTTTATTTTTGACCACCTACTTTATTTTTTTGTTGTCTGGAAGAGATTGCGTTAACGCTAACAGCCTTTTGTGCTTAGGGTCCCAATAATTTAATTTTGTTCAAGTCCTATTAATGTTGGTGCAATAAATACACATCTATATATAATATATAAACAAAAAAAATGGGATGGCAACAAACCGACGGCCCATCTAATGGTAACGAGCAACCGTCACCTATGTACATACATGAACAGCACTATCATCAAGTCATCATGTAACGCTCGTGGTACTCATCCGTTGTAATTTCACTGCCTTTTCTCTACCGAAACTTAGCTTACGAAGCAAACTATTTGGCGGCTGACATAGATGAGACTGAGGTATCTAGCAGACGATTTTGTATAGTATACTTTAGTAAAAATAGTATAAAACCAATAAAATAAGACAGTACTAATCAATTCTACAATCTATGGCACATAACGGATGTTTTCGTATGAAATGAAATGTTTTTGTCAACACCTCACTATACGGCCGTAGAAACGTGTTCCAACAGTTATTAACCTTATCTAATCAATAATAGTCCTTATTGCAGAGCGTTACAATTGATTTTTTACCTTTAGAGATGTCGGTGTTTATAAAGGCAACTGCCTCTATTCTGAATTTTTTTTCAAATCACACAGCGCCTTTTAGACCCAAGTCAAGCTCGGTAAAGCTTGTATTATTGGTACTAGATAACTGATACAAATACACAAATTTTTTTCGTAAAGACATACCTACATATTATACATAGAAAACATCCAGATCGATACAAAGAATCATACTTATGAATACAAATGTCCATCAATTCGACCATTGGAACTAAGGCAGTGTGCTAATCAGCTAAACCACCGGCTGTCGAGTTTTTGTCTCTTATGATCTCTTATCATCAATCGATATAGGAACGCATGAACAGTATCACAAATATAATATGATAACGTGATATCAGTATTGCTATTCATATATTATGCGACGGTTACCACTTGCCAACATGTGGGCCGTCAAATTGTTTGATATTTCAATTGCCCAAAAAGCAATATAGGTATGTAGGTATATTTCTAGTAGAATATTTACTGTTTTCAATATTTAATAGCAAATAGAAGGTCTATATTTTAGGATAGGTTCATTGTAACTTGAATATTAATGTAGGTTAAGTTAATATTAATATTAGTCTTCGGAACTGTATGAACTAACGCTACTAACCTGTTATAAACTCGTTAAAACTTACTATTAGAAAGGTAATATGAGTATTAAACAGCAGCGGCCCACTCTGGCTTTGTACCAGAATTTAACAAATAATTATGAGTTATAAATTTTTATTTTTTTTTAACGTATGATACATACACCATTGATATTGATATCCTCTATAAAACTGTAGTAATCCTTTTGTTCTATTGTTAATCATTTTAGCAGATTACGAGGTTTAAAAATTTTATTGCTATTTTTATTTATTTAATGTATAATAGCAACCCGCAACATTAAAAAATGGAACCTCATTATCGAATTTAACATACGGATCCCTAACGTTTCTGAAAACATTATATCGCCTACATATGTTCATCAGATATAATAGGATTCTAATCGTAAAAAAAATGTTTCAAATAGATCCAACAGTTTTTGAGCCTATTCAATATAATCAAACAAACAATTTATTATTTGTACTTTTATGTAAGTACATAAAAGTTAAAATAGTGAAAATAAAAAGTATTATAATTGACCACTAGCTGTTTATTTCCGATGGCCGTGGGTTCGATTTTTGGCACGGTACAAACAGTATACTTTCTATGTATATTATGTATGTATTTGAAAGAAATGGTAATTGTACCACTACCACTTACCATCTGGTGGGAATTCAGCATGTAATGTGTCATTTCAATTGTATAAAAAAACTACAGGTGTAGCCTGTAGTTTTTTTAAACTGCATGTACATACGAATTAACGATTCATATACATATACTTTTCCTTACTGCACATCAAACGAAACGCAATATCAAAGAGACATTACGCTCAAGTAAATTCGTTCGCGCCCAAAGTCCGTCCTTTCCTATTTGGTCACACAAGACATGTCACAAAACTCCCTTTGCCCGCATCTTTTAATATCTGATGGTAGATATTGTGTTAGCCTCTCTCTCATTGACATAATCTTTGTCACTGAGTGATAAAATAGAATAGAAAATACTTTATTCATATAAATTTAACTTAATTTAAGCACTTTTGACACTTGTGTGTTGCTCACACAAGTTTCTTGCCTAATGAGCAGTAGATTAAAAATGTTATGACTACTCAAAAATGCTTAAATTAAGTTAAATTTATATGAATAAAGGATTTTCTATTCTATTATCTATTCTATTTGGCAAGAAACTTGTGTGTTGCTCACACAAGTTTCTTGCCGAATGAGCAGTAGATTAAAAATGTTATGACTATTCAAAATTGCCTAAATTAAGTTAAATTTATATGATCCTTGTAAGTTCACATTTTTCAAGTCGAAACATGTGAATACAAACCACCAATTAGCACTAAATTATTA